TTTTTTAAATTTGAGACAGGATCTAGCCCTGTTGCCCAGGCTGGAGTGCAGTGGTGTGATCTCTTGGCTTACTATACTGAATCTCTGCCTCTCTGGTTCAAGGAATACTCCTGCTTCAGCCTCCCAAGTAGCTGGGATTATAGGCACTGGCCTCTATGCCTGGCTAATTTTTGTAATTTTAGTAGAAACAGGTTTTACCATGTTGGCCAGGCTAGCCTTAAACTCCTAACCTCAAATGGTATGCCCACCTTTGTTGAGAAATACTAAGTTGACTGTTGAGGAACATTAAGTTTACTGTTGAGAAACATTAGGTTTACTCTGTCCCAGTGGCTCTCTTGTGGAGAATACCTTTTAGTTTGCAATTAGTGGTAGATGGATAACAGCTGCCTATGTGGTATATTTTTGAGCTATTAGTAAATACAGAACACCTGTTTATTAATAAGAATCACCTGTTTAAGAGAGCATAAAAACATGGATCAGAAGCTGCTACGGGCCTTCAGCCTAGAATGCTGTCAACCCCTGAGGCTCTCAGCTCGATGGGCTGCTGGCCCCAGGATAGACTCACTTTGCTGTTCTGTCAGTGTCTGCCTCTCACTGCCGTCAGCGCCAGCTGGTCAGGGGCCTCCTGGCCTAGCTGGTACTCCGTACGCCTTGGCCTACCGAAGTGCTGAGATTGCAGGCATCAGCCCCCGCACCTGGCCCGTATTTTCCTGTTTTTAATAACATGCTTATTGCTTTCTCTTGATTCTTCAGTTTTACAAATTATCTATTCAGTTTTATCATGATACATAAAGATTTTGCTCCTTTATTATTTTTTTTTTAATTTCTATTTTGTGTGATTTTGCTCCTTTATAGCATCCACTTTTCCCTAGGTCTTTCCAACTTAGTTATGTCACAAATTTTTATCAAGACAGAATTCAGAATTTATGGCAGACTGAGGCAGGAGAATTGCTTCAGCCTGAGAGGCAGAGGTTGCAGTGAGCCAAGATTGTGCCCCTGCACTCCAGCCTGGGCAACAGAGCAAGATTCCATCTAAAAAAGAAAAAAAAAAAAAAAAAATACAGAGTCTAGTCTATATGTTATTATGGCTGTAATGATAACTTGGCTGAGTCAAGGAGGATTGTTTCTTTCTTGAACAACTTCTTGTTTTTCATAGAGTTAGTGATTATCTCATTTTATTAGCTCCTCCCTCCCTCCTTCCCTCTTTCCTTCCCTTAGTATATGTGATGCTGAGGTGAGCACCAAGGTTTTGTTTGTTTGTTCGTTTGTTTAATATGGAGATGGGGTCTCCCTGTGTTGCCAAGCCTGGTCTTGAAATCTTCGACACAAGGGATCCACCCATCTAGGCCTCCCAAAGTGCTGGGATTATAGGCGTGCACCACCATGTCAGGCCCCCCACCTTTTGTTTTTTTTAATTTTTAAGACACTAAGAAAAGGCCTGGCCAGGCACAGTGCTTCATGCCTGTAATCCCAGTACTTTGGGAGGCTGAGGCAGGTGGATCACAAGGTCAGGAGTTCCAGACCAGCGTGGCCAATATGGTAAAACACCACTCTACTAAAAATATAAAAAAATAGCCCGGCATGGTGCCACGCGACTGTAGTCACAGCTACTCGGGAGGCTGAGGCAGAAGAATCGCTTGAATCCAGGAGGTGGAGGTTGCATGAGCCAAGATCACACCACTGCACTCCAACCTGGGCTACAGAGTGAGACTCCATCTCAAAAAAAAAATTCATAGGGCTTCCAGATAGCTGAGCAGGGGGAGGTTCCTGGGGGGTGGCGGACTCCTCCCCCCATTCCTTGCCCTATGTATCTCTTCAATCTGACAGTTTATCTGTATCTTTTGTAATAAAGATACAGTTATCTGTATCTTTTGTATCTTTCATAATATTCAGCTTGAGGCCTCAGTCCCACAAGACTGCCCTCTTGTGGAACTGAGCCCTCAACCTGTGGGGTCTAGCACTATTTCCAGGTAAACAGCATCAGAATTGAATTAGAGGACGCTAAGCTGGTGTATGCTGGAGAGTAGCAGCAGAATTGCTTGCTTCATGTGTGAGGAAACAACCCACACACATCTAGGGTGACAGAAAGTTCTTTTTTTTTTTTTTCTGAGATGGAGCCTCACTCTGTTGCCCAGGCTGGAGTGCAGTGGCATGATCTCGGCTCACTGCAACCTTCACCTCCCAGTTTCAATTCTCCTGCCTCAGCCTCCCAAGTAGTTGGGGTTACAGGTGCCTGCCACCAAATCCAGCTAATTTTTGTATTTTTAGTAGAAGTAGGGTTTCACCATGTTGGCCAGGCTGGTCTCGAGCTCCTAACCTCAGGTGATCTGCCCACCTTGGCCTCCCAAAGGGGTACGATTACAGGCGTAAGCCACTGCACCTGGCCAGAATGTTCTGTGTTAAGTAGAGAGTATAGGAAAAAAGAGCACTTTTAGTTTTTTTTCCCTATATCTCTAAGTCTAATACTTCAGGAAAGCACCAGTTTAAGGTGAATGAACAGTATCTCATTGTTAACTGAAAATGCTATTTCTCTGAGTTCCTTAATATGCATGATTGTGTTAGGTGTTACATAAAATTATTCATAAGAGAAGATCCCTGCCCTCTAGCAATTTAAAACAGGCAACAAATATACTGACACAAATGGTAAAATGTCAAATATTCAATGCTGCTTACGGATCAATTTTATATAATTGTAAGAATTCTAGGTTGTGGCCGGGCGCGGTGGCTCACGCCTATAATCCTAGCACTTTGGGAGGCCGAGGCGGGTGGATCACGAGGTCAAGAGATCGAGACCATCCTGGTCAACAAGGTGAAACCTCGTCTCTACTAAAAATACAAAAATTAGCTGGGCATGATGGTGTGTGCCTGTAGTCCCAGCTACTCGGGAGGCTGAGGCCGGAGAATTGCTTGAACCCAGGAGGCGGAGGTTGCGGTGAGCCGAGATGGTGCCATTGCA